CGAAGAAGAAGCGATCCTTGATGAAAAGAATAGCATCTTTAATTGCCCGGATGTTTACGTAAGTTTGAACATTTTAATTTAAAATAGCATAACAATTTCAAACATTAATTTATCGATATTCAATCTCTCGACGAATTGAAGCACAATCCGTTCTGATTAATAATTAAAGATAAGGATTAACGTTGATAACGGCAAGATGATGGTTAATTATTCGGTAATCAATAGTGGCGATTAATATTTAACAGAAACAATCAGAAGCTGATTCGATCGGAATAATTGATAATTATTATGATCGTATATACTTTCAGCAAACGATCAAAAATTATCGAGGGAAAAAATTGATCGACCATCCCCAACGATGGGCATTGTTTGCCAAAAGGAAGATCGATTATAACCTGGACCACGCTTACTTCCTTCTTCCTGCATTAATTCGAAAAATATATTGCGGTCAGAAGAGTATTGATCTCTACCGACCAAGACTTCTTTCAATATTTTTTTAACTGGAACGGTAACGCGCTGAAAAGAAGAAAAATTAAGTATATGAACACAGGTGGGTTCATAAAAAATATGAAGTAGAATTGGGAAAGGAATAAGAAATAAAGAGAATGCAAAGGAAGAATATAAATGAAGGTATATATGATAGAAAAACATAAAAATGATACAAAGGAAATGCGTGTGTGAGAGAAAGAGAGAAAGAGAGAAAGGAATAATGTAGGAAAAAATGTGTGGAAAATTGTATCAAAATTGAAAACGTGGAAAGAATGAATTTTTAATCATATTTTTATAAGAAAAGACTTAGGTTTTTTTTTTTTTCTATGTAAAATATAAATTTAATATTAGTTTCAAGATGATTTAAGATGCCTTTAAATCCTTTAGATTTTTTCGTTAAAGAATGCTTTTGTTAAAGAGATGGTCATTAATTAAAGTGATATTAAAATACGTTAAATGAGGTATAAAGTGCTAGATAAAATCCTCAAGTTTTTATTAACACTAATTCGATAAATTGTATCAACATTAGCTCGACAAAATAATCAATTTGTCGTAATTAAATATTGTTTTTTTTTTTTGCAATATAATTATATTCTTAAAGAAAATTTAAATATATTATTAATGATGTTTTTGTAAAAAAATTTAAAATTTCTCAATTTTGTTAATAATTTTTTGTACTCAAACTTCGGAACTCTAAACTATCATAACCATATTTAAAACCATAAAAATAAAACCAACCGAATAAAAAGTGAAAGTAATGTAAACGATTTTACAGAGAGAGAGAGAGAGAGAAATAACAGGAACCTAAAAGAATAGTAACTATACCAGAAAAACAAACGAAAATACAATCAAAAAGGAATAAACGATTCTCCAAAAAAGAAGAAAAAGAAGAAGAAAATTGGAGTTGAAATGGTGGAAGCGTGACGAAACAGGTGAAACAAAGCGTAATATTTATATACCAATCTTATAAGAATAAAGAATGAGTTGAACAATCCATAAATATACAAGTGATACCTCGATCATCCAACCCGAACCAAGCTCAACTTCATTAAGATCAAACTAACAAAAACAAAACAAAAAAGAAAAAAAACAAAAAATGATGTAAACGAATTTACGGAGGGAGAAAAAACTAGAAAATCAAACACTGGCCATCTATACCAGAGAACAACCAATCAACAGTACACGATTCTTCCTAAAAAAAAAAAAAAAAAAAAAAAAATAAGGATCACAAAAAAAGGACAGATGAACATACCACATACCAAACTAGCGAGGATAAAAAGTGAGTTGAACAGATAGAGACAAAAGAAACAGCGATACTACAACCCAATTACTCGCCCTGAACCAAGGTCAAATTCATCAAAACCAAACCAAAGGCAAAAAAAAAAAAAAAAAAAAAAGTAGAAAGAAAGTGAGCAAACTTACAGAGACGGGAAAAAAGAGACAGAACAAACAGACGAAAAGTATACCCCGAAAATTGCTCTCTCTACAAAAAAAAAAAAAAAAAAGGAAAGAAAAGAAAAAGAAAGTCGAATCAAACTCGAAGGAGTGCAAACTCGTGACGAGGCAGGTGGAACGCAGGGCGCAGTACGAAGCAACTCTTATGGAGCAGCAGTAGAGAGTGAGTTGAGCCAGAGATAAACAGAGACAAGAGGAGAAGAGAGAGGTACATATAATGGTGGCGCATGCTCCCCCTAGTTGTGCACGTATCGTAGAGCAGGCAGTTGCCCTCGTCGGTTCCAGGTACACGCGAAAATCCATATCGACGCCGTGTACCGTCTCCTACGGCCGTTGACAGAGGCCCGTGCGGACAGGACCCGTCGCGACGCAGCTTCCTCCAGACTTACGCGCCGATCCTACACACCCGGAGGTAGGCTCTTACACCGCTTCGAGCACGTGCCAACCGCCAGTCGCGTGCCACTGCTCGCCCAACACGGAGCGGATCTTTCTCGAAGGGAGAAAGGAATTTTCATCTTCGGACGAGACTCGAACATGTGACTTTCACGAGACATCTATGGTTCCTCGTTTCGCTTTAAGATAATAATTTTTAAGGGAAGTTTTTTTCTTTTTTTTTTTTTTTTGAAGAGAAGGAAAGCTGGTCGAGCGTTCGTTGGTGGGTGCTATGAGAATTTTAAAGTTGACGCATTATGAAGAGGGATTCGGATGTAATTGAAAAAGAAACACGTGTATCCAACGTCGCGCGCATATCCCAGGAATATCGAAGGAAGAGATGTTTAGCAACGATTGAAATAATAAGTGAATGGACACGTTTTATACGTCCATCTATTGTATTTTGTTATAATATATAAATAGTATATATATATGCATCGAGTTACTTTGTTTTAAAAGGAGGGAGATGAATATTTAGAAGCGGTTCTAAGAAGGATATTATCGACGATAATATTTCGACCGATGTATCGATAAACACGAGACAAAACAACAGTTTTAATCACGAGAATATTACTTATTAATATTATTTATAATTATTCTTGAAAAATATTCAAATATGGAAACAGATAATTAGATAAATTTTTTCGATGATGAACGTTTCAACAGAGACATAAAGGACTCGAAGGAGCATCCTTTATTTCAAACAAGTTTCTTGTTTCCGGGGAGGAAACAAAAAAAAGTAATTAGAAAACGATCAAAAGAACTTCAAAGTCCAACATTATCGCACCCTCTGATATAAACCCCTGTGAAAATAAAATTTCAAAGGACAATTAGATTGAAAACGGAAAACTGGAAACAAACGCAGAAAAGACTCGACACTGTTTGAACACTTACTAGATAGAAACATAAATAAATACACAGTTCTGATACACCAGAGTTTCAAACCGTATCCATTGAAAGTTCACCGCGATGGAGGAATAGCATTTTAAAGAAGAAACCGATTCCATCGGGGGGCGATAAACGTTAGAAAGTTTGATCGCTGTCTTGAAAAAAAAGAAAAGCCAAAGATTCGAGAGAAATCCTTGGAGAATTTCATTCGAGACCAAAGTTCCTCCGAGTCCTTTTTTTTCTTTTTTCTTACGAACAAGAAGTAAACCACGTTGTAATTTACGCGTAAAAATTTCTAAATCATCCGTGGAGAGATCATATTCACCTTATTATTCATCATAAAAAAAAAAGAAAAAAACGATATTTCATCAGAGGCAAAGCAGTTGAACAGCGGAATGGACGAAGTTTTGAAACTCGTTTACCAAGCTCTATCGACTATTGATTACAAGGGACTGTGAACTTCTCGTTCGGTTCGAGAGGGAGAGACCGTGATAAACCCCTGTGTCGTTTCTCCTTACGTTGAGTTGGGCGGATACACGAACCGAGCTCTCGAGCAGAGTTTTCTCCCGAGTGGTCTCTCGATCATCTCGAAACACGGTATCGGATCTCCACCACCGAACGCCCTTTTGTTCCTGCCTTTCCACGCGCCTTTCTTCGCGACGCAATAGAACAATGGAGGGATGAGGATCACGTTCAACTGTTAACGCTCGATCCAGACGTCATCGGTTCGGTTTCTCCAATAGCTGTCGAGTGCCACTTTCAATCAATGGATCGGACCCAACCGAACCTGTTCATCTCGATCAATTCTATTTCAGAAACGGCGGCAAATTGTCGAACGAATTGAAGAAATCTCGAGAGGAGCAAAGATTTTCTTTAAGGAAGATAATCATCAATTGACTGAAACTAATTCGTAATAGCTACAGTTTTTTCCCCATTCGATGAACGCGCGAAGGAAATCGTCGAGCTGGCAAGTTTCTCCGTAAAAGTTCCTCTGTGACGTAAGGATATTTCAAAGGGATATATCCGAGGATATATCCCCCGCTTTGACGAAGGAATTCAATGAACTTCGAATCCGATGAAATCGACCTATCGGTTCCCAACTATTTGTAAAATAACCTCGCTAAAACTTTGTTCCATTCGGTGACGTAAATCGATAGAGGAGATGTATATGTATATAGTAATAATGTATAATAATAGTAATGTAAAATTCGATAAGGTGTTATTATCACCGTTTCAATACGAATCGCGTGTGTAAAGATTAAACGAATTGTTTAAACAATTCGCCCCTCCCCCCTTCTTATCCCCTGTATTTGCCTGTTTGCGGGAACCAGAGAAAGGAATCGTCGAGGATTAGCCCTCCTTTAATGGCCCAAGGATCTTGGAGGATCAACGGTATTAGTCGTGGAATCCAACCGAAAATATCTTCTTTTTCCGTGGAGAGCAACATCAGAGATTCCATAACCTGATCAACATCTGGCAATGCGAAGTGCGATTTTTTTTAACACGATTGCGACAAGGATATTAAGAAGATTGGATATTAAGATCGAAAAGGTGTGAAAGGATAAACGAATCAACGTGGATGTTGAAAAATTTTACTGAAAATATTAAAACGTTTCGTTGAGAAAGATAAATTTTCTAACGAAAACCCGGGGAAAAAAGTTATAGGTTACATAAATCGACGAGGAGCCGTGTCAGGCGATAAATTCTTTCGATTCCTTCCCCCATTTCTTTCTTCGAAAAGACGAAGGAACGAACGAAGGAACTCGATCGAAGAAGCGAAACGTGTCGAGTCCGCGATCGGGGAGGAAGCATGAGCTGGCAATCGAGCAATGAGACTGTCTTCGACAACGATAATTACGTGGTGAACACGTTGCACTATATCAACAAATTGAACGAATCTGTGAACCCGGAGGCGATCAAGTGTCTGGAACGTAAGCATCAGGAGGAGCTGTCATTGGGGACAATACAGCAGGAGGATCAACAGGGGTGTGAAATCAGTTGGGATTCTTTATTGTGCTGGCCGAGGACACCTCCTGGAACACTGGTCACGCTACCCTGTTTCGATGAACTGAATGGGATCCGCTACGACAGCACTCGTGAGTAACAAATTTTATTTCGTATTTCTATTGATTTAAAATTATCAATTCAACTGTTGCTTCTTGGCAATGGAATCTCTTTTTTTTTTTTTTAGAGAGATAACAGTGTTGGTGATGAAAAGAGCATGAGATTTATAAAAGTATTTGAATGTTAATATAATAATCTAATTTAATTAGATACGTATTAAATAATTAGATCGATTTCATTATATAAGTCGATTTGATGAATGTTCAGACGTGATTAGGATTTTAATGATGTTATAATTGAATTATATAATTCAACTTTCATATTCAAATATTGTTTATACACTACGAATTTTTTTTAATAGTTTATGGTCAAAATTTTTTTATAAATCCAGAGTTCAGGTTTTAAACAAGTGTCTCGATAAATATATATCCGTTTGATTTTGATGGTATCATGCTTGTGTATTCAGTTTTGAGATGGCGAATGATTCAGGTATAAATCGTTTATCCTTCAAACTCATTCGAATTTTATTTCTATCTTTGTTTGTGCGTGACTAGTTTTCTTATAAAAATTCGATCTTTAAGAAACTCATTTCAAACTGCAATTTCTAATTATAAGTTCGTTTATAACAAGGTCATATTAATATTGGGAGAAGATGTTTTCATTGCTTTAATAATTGCACGAGGACACGTAGGGAATTAAAAATGTATATACGATGTAATAACCGTAACACTGTAACAGAGAAAGGAAAAATTTCAAGTAAAATTAATTAACCGTCCGTTCCATATGAAGTGAACTGTCCGCTCACATAATTAATAACCGGATTTAGTGAAAGTTACACGATTCGTTCTGGATAGAAATTGATAATCTGGATTAATTGATAGAAAATATTATCCTTTCGGAATTGAATTTCCGTTTCACTTTTTCTGTTCTTTCCTTAAGAAAGCAAATGTTCCTTAAATCGAAAAATAATGATCGAATTTTGGAAAAATAAATTTTCGGAATTGATCCTTTCGATAGTCAAATTATTTCCATTATCAAATTTTTTCCAGTATTATTTGTTTTTTAATTTTTTTTTTTTAATTCAATCTAATATCAAGTTTCTTTAATATTGGGGAAATTCGTTGATTTCATCGATTAACTAGAATTAGGATTCAATCTGTTTTTATTCGAGCTTCTTTCAAGCTCAAAAGATTAAGGAAAGATTGATAAGGATTCGGATCATCGGATTAAAGGGGAAAGATTTGAGACCCGTTGTTATCGAGTCTTCTCTTCCAAATCTATTCATATCGATTCTCCAATTCTCTGACGATTTTTAGTATCAGAATATATCGTATAATTCTTTTCAAATTCTTTTTCAAATATTTATATAATATCCTCTTTATATCCTCCTCTTCTTTTTTTTGCTAAAACTTTTCAAATAGAACTTCATTCAGAATAAAAAAAGAAATGCTTCCTTCGTTAATATAGATGTTCAATATCAATTATTTAAATAAAAAATTAATATTTTATTCAAAAAAATAAATAAATAAACGATACACTTTCCATCCTTCAAAATTTCTTCATAATTGGTCTTTATATATCGTTTGAAAGAATCTTATCATTAAAAAGAATCTCAATATCTGCGATAGATTCGAAGAAAAATATTTTATTCATTTCATGATAAAATACTTTTTCCAACATTTTTTCGCTCTAAACAATTGACTTCCAAGAAATCGTTTAATTAAAAATAATCTTGTCAATATTGCAATAGATTTTTAAAGAAACGAAAAAAATCGTAACACTTTTAGTTTGTAATACCTTATTCATTTCCTGCATAATAAACTTACAGTCACAATCACAAATGAACAATCCCACCTCTAAATTCTCATAGGAATTGTTGGCTGAATATAAAACGCCATTTCTATGAATCTTTATAAATGCACTGTTGGAATTGCTATTGGTGCAAGTGAGAACATAGTGAATCTTATCCACAACGACAAAAATTCGAGGATTTTAAAGCGATCATTACCGGAAATCGTAATGTGAAACAAAATATTTAGGATTTAATTAAAATCGTTTAGCAACCGCAACTTTCTTTCGCTTCTATATATCTTCTATATGTATCTTTTTTTTCTTCCGTTTTTTCTTTATCCTTTTCGAGAAAAAAAGAAAAAGAACGTGTTATCCATTCGTAGTAGTGCTTTATTCGAAATCGTATGCAATTTCATCCATCCATCGTAATGCGAAATGAAAAAACAACGGGGTTCGTGAACTCTTTTGACGAATGTCGATACTTGGTAAATAAATATATCGTTTGTAAATAAATGAAATCAATTGAAAAAATACACAAAAGGATTTTTTTTTAACAGGATTGGGATTTGACGTTGAAGTTTTGGGGATAAAAAGCCAGTTTTCTTTTTTTAAGTATTTTGTATTATTTCATGAAATTGAAGGTTTAATTTTTTTCAAATGAAATGATAAGGGTAATTTTTTAAGGATAAAAAAATTTTAAACGAAACTATTTTTAGGTAAATGACATAAATTGGATATTAAAATGAATGAAGAAAATATAATTCTATTAAATAAACAGTTTGAAATTTCATGTTTAATGTGAAGAAAAAAAAAATTATCAATAAAAATCAAAATGCATAATTTTAATAGAATCCAATATAAAAGGATATGTATCTCTATTGGGATGTATTGAAATGATTTTAAAAATGATTGATAAATGTTGTTGAATTGGGATGTATTGAAATGATTTTAAAAATGATTGATAAATGTTGTTGAAGAGAATGATTATATCGTGTGATTTATAAAACAGATTAAAGAAAATCTTCATTTAAAATTTTCATTTAAAAATAAAACGATTTTATTATTTTTAAATAGTTAAAAACGATTTGCAATTAAATATTTGTTACATGTTAAAATATAGGAAAGATGTAGAAAATGAAAGACAGAAAAACATGTTAATTATATGTTACTGGTATTGTACAATTTCATTGATTGAACGATTCAGAGTTTTCTGTTTGACGTGAAAGAAAATTATCGACAGAATGTGGGAAAAAGTATGGAATTGTTGTATATTTGATCGATCTATCGAAAAAAAACTGCAACAAAACTCGTTTTCTGTATACATAATAATACAAATATCACGTAACTCTGCGAATAATTGAAAAAGAAAAAGATAGATCCATCTTCTTTGAATCGTTCGTACATGAAATGAGCGCACAAATTATAATTATATTGTTCGTTGAAAAATAAATCAAGCATTGAGAAGCGTTCAAAATACTTAAAAATATTAATTATTTTTTTTACGGTAAAAAAAATATACATAATATATTATATATATATATATTTAATATATTTAATATATAAAAATATAGAGGAATATTTTTTTTCTTCTTTTCTTTTTTAGAAAAATTCGAAATTAGCATTATATGATAATCGTATTTGTGTTCTTTTTGTTTTTTTGTTTGTCAGTGAATATTTTAGGTTATGTTATCTTTCTCTCCTTTTATCTAGAAAACGTATGCATATACTTAAAGCTATGTAAAAACCATCATATGGATTCTGCAAAAATTTTCAGTAGAAATAGAAAATCTTCTTTTTATAAATTTTTTCAAAACTTGTTCCAAAATTTTTTTCAATAGTTTCGAATTTTTAAAATTGTGCGTCAATCATGTTTGATGATATATAGATTTTTCATTTATTATTTTGATTTTCAATATTTTCGAAACTCAATTCCTTTTTTACTTATCGAATTTCATTTTGAATTTTCAATTATTTGTTAATTCATATAGTCAATTACCATGTTTTCAATCTATAACTTTTATCGTCAATTTCGTTTAATTTCTCATTGTGTTCAATATAACTTTCCGTTATTCTATCTATTAATCTTTATTTCATCAATTTATACAATACGATATTCATTTGATGATTTCAAATTATAAAAACGTTTCATAAATGTCAAACTCTACAATTTCTCATTTTGAATCGTAAATTAATCTGTTACATAAAATATATCCGTCTTTTATTTCCATAAAACTTTTTGGATGATGGATATTCAAGAAATATCGTATATATATAAGAAAAGTTTTTAATGTAAAAACTTGAAAAGATAATAGGATCATATCTTTTTCATGTTTTCATCATTACATAAAAAAAAAAAATATTAAAAGAAATTGCATTAGTGCAATTTTTTTCATAGTATTAAGTAGATATATCAGTAATAAAACAATTAAATTTTTTTAAATAATCTTATATAAAAAAAATAGTTATATGTTATTTGAATATTACAATAGAAATTTGCAATTAAAAAAAAAAAGAGAAAACATTGTCCTAGAATATCCTAGATTATTCAAATCCATGCAATCTAACCTTAAAACTTTTTGCTCCATTATTATCCAACCTCCAATATCCAGTTTGATCGAAGGACTAAACGAAAACCATGGAAGAGCATTTTCCTAAATGTCTTACGCGTTTAGGTCGACATAATTTGAATTCTCCAGTTCAAAAGAAATCTTTTTGCGTGCGAGTATTGCTCGAAGGCAACCTCATAAAGGAACTAAGCAACGTAGAAAACGGGAATAACGATGGCTTTAAAAATTGCTTCTCCTTTTCTTTTCTTCACTACGATCGATTACAATCTCAAGGCTCGTAAATATCATCACGTTTCTGACATGAGAGTAGTTTTCGCTTTAATGATACATTTATTTTTTGCAACGCACAATTCGTAAAACAGTCTTATGCACGAGTTAATGCCTTTACAGGAATATCAAATCTCGATTTATATATGAGTGCATCAAGTTTTGGTACATATACACATGCACGTATTCGTCTCGCGAAACGCGAGTTATATCTAATCCATGTTCGATCCAGAACCTATGATTGGGTGGATTTTCAACATTCGATGTCGTCCATTATTGACAAACGATAATTGAAACAAAAAGATTTTTTTTTTTAATCTTGGTTACTTGCTTTTTTCTCTATTGTACTTATTTGTCATTGGAAATAGAATTTAAAATGGAAATAGAATTTCAATATTCTGATATTCTTTTAGGGAGGAAATATTTTTAGGGTAAGAGTTTAATATAATTATATATTATCGATAAAAATAAATATTCAACATTGATGATCTTTGCATTGTTTTTTATAAAAAAAGTCGACCACCTACAGACTAGTAGCGATTAATCAATCAATAAAATAAAAAGTTCGTTATTACTATATGCCTTTAGGATGTTACATCATTAGAATTTTCATTGTTATATATCAAAGTGTAATATAAATATTGAATTCAACAGATGATGTAAATTTTTTATAATGTAGTAGAATTTTCAATATTTGAATTAGCAGAGAAATATGATTCTATTTGTTAAGAAAATTTTAATATGTAAATATATTTTTTATTCTTATTATTTTATTCGTTTCAAAACAAACAATATTATTGAAAGATAATATAAACTAAGAAATTATAAATTTTTTGTTTTCAAAAATAATTAAAAAATATATGGTATATAAGTATATTTTAATATACTATATAGCATTCCTGAGCTATGCCAAATAAAAAATAGAATAGAAGTTAAAACAAAATTCATTTCGTGTTTTCCATTATTCCAATAACTAATAAATAAATGACTAGATTTCGTTTTTAATTAGAAAGAGAAGCATGATCGTATACGACACGAGGTTAATTATGAAAGTAACCAGTCGTGTAGTCTAGTCGCGCCATTTAAGATCAAATTACATTAGTGTCGTGTAATGTCAGTGGAAAATAAATTGTGGCCACTGTGTGTGTTCTTCATTCTGTTAGCACTATAGACTTTCGCAAATACGTGGTTACTGTCTTTCAATGAATATTCATGATAAGGATTTGAAAACCATTAACGTTATTGACACCCTCTTCGTGAATTAATTTAATATTTCCGGTGATCAATTTTGTATTGTATTGTGAATAATTGTGGTTTAAGAAATCGATTTTCATTGTTTTTTATTACTCGAAGATCCTAATTCGAATTTGTTTTTTTTTCGTTTCTTTAATTAATTAAAGCTAAGGAATTATAGATAAAAAAGGGATGAAATCTAAATATGAATTAGAGATTGAAAATTTACAATATTTTAAATTTATGTCTATTATATGTTACATTAATAAATACATGTATTTTTATTATAAAAAGCTTGCAAAAAATAGTTGCAATTTTAATTACATTTAAATCCAGATTTTATAGTGATAACGAATTGTCGAATTATTTAAATTTTCCAATTATTTCCTGATTGGATTTTTGTAATAGTCTTATCAACTTGAAATCGTAATACCAAATTGGAAATAAGAATTTTCAACACTAACTTCTGTGTGCTGAAAGAAATTAAATCGGATAATTCTAAATTTAAATTTTTCTACAATTTTATTGATTGATTCAATTATATATAAACTATAATAATGTATATAAACTATATAAATACAATTTTATCTATCTGATATAAAAATTTATTTTTAATTATTATGTTTCACTTCTCTACAAAATCTCTTTTTCTCTCATAATATAAATTTTATCTATATTTTATTTTACAATATTTCTTCATCTTTTTTATTTAAATATCTCAATAAATACAACTTCATTCAAACTAAATACACATTGTAAAAAACCTAATTCTATGCATGATCAATATCCCAGCCACGAGCACACCTTTCGAAAGACCAGTCGGACACGACAGGAAATCAACGAACATTTCAATCATTATCAAACACTCCATGTAATTCTCTGGAATCGCAACGAGGGAGTTTCGTGATATCGCTGGTTATTTCCCTTGATTTATAACGCCTGCACACGATATTCATAAACGTAATAGATCCTGTATACACGTTATTTCACAGTTACATCATATATTATGTTTCAAAAATAAATAATTAAATTTAAAAAAGATTAGATAAACATAATCCGAAAGTTCATCCTTGCTGAAGTACTTTTTTATCATGATATATTTCAATTTAAGTTAATCTATATATTTGTAATTTAAATCTTTTTTGAATTTTTATTTGTAAAAATAAGAACGTAATTTATGATAATAATACTATTGTATCGTATCATTCTTCTTGCACTCACCATTAGGGAGATTTACACGGAACATAATTCCCATAAGGAAAATATCACACGTTCTCTTTTCATCCTAACCTTCAATGTCATAGCATTCAAAACACGGAGTTTCTAGATAGCATTATCGTTAATGCTTCTTTCTTTTCTTCTTTTTTTCTTTATCCTTTTTTTCCCATTTCCAATAATCCAGTATCCAAGAACTACATAAAATAAGAATTATTATTATACGATGATGAAAAAATTTGAAATAAATCAAAAATTTTTTAACCTCTTCGATAATCTTAAATTGATAATCAAAAAAATTGATTTTTCATTTTTGAAACATTTTATGTTTGATTCTTTAATTCTGAAACATCCTATATTCGTATACATGCACGCTCATATAGTAGAATATATATTACTTGCATATATGCTCATGAGAGAAATAATATAATGGTGGGCAAATTGGTCGAGCTTTACGGCGCCATTATACATTCGATGGTGAAACGGTAAAAGCAAATCTTGGTTACGAAACGTGTCGCGTGTGAAATTCCTTTTGCTTATGAATGTTCGATTCATTCATGACGATTCAAAAAAAAAATAATAATAAAAAATAAAGAAGTTTTATCGAACGATTTCAATGGATTGGAATGGAGAAGGTGCTTTTGATCGTTTTTCTTATTATACGTATGATCCGTTTCGAACATACCGCGTGAATACTGAATATCGAACACCATTGGTAAATTCATAGGATAGATTCTACAATGGAATGATTATTCTCGTTGCATTAATCGTTGTTTTAAAAATGTCACAATCTACATTTGAATTTAGAAGATTTTTATACATAATTGTATGCAAGAAATAGTTTGTAGCTTGTTTAAATTAATTATGATTTTCTAATGTTTTATAATATAATTTTAAAATATAATTTTGTCCTCAACTTTATTTTAAAATTAAAAAGAATGTATAATAAAATAATAAATATAATTGATTTCTTTTATTAATTATGATTTTAATTATGATTTTAAAATATAAAAAACATAATTAATATAATCGACAAATGTTTCGAAAAAAATTCTGGAAAATAAAATAATATTCTGTTATCGTAAATTAAAAGATTGGCACATTCGTACACCAAAAATAATATACGAGTATATCTGGTTAAACTTTTCGAAAGCTATTCATGGTAACCTGTGAATCTAATTGGTCCCACTGATGCGTGAAGTTATTAACTCTAACGTGATCAAAATGTTCCGAGTTCTCGAAACTAAACATCTTTTCATTTTCCATATTGCTGCTTGTCGTATAAATTGACTAGTTTTATTCTATATCAGTGTCGTGAAAAAATTATAAGGAAACAAAAGAGAGGTTAAAAATTTCGATTTATCGAATTACAATTGTTTGCGAATGTTAAATAATAAATTCTATACAATTCGTGCAGTGAATGCAGAATTAATGAATATTGGAATTAACATTGCATTCAGATATTGTGTAAACATGAGTGATTATAGATGAAAGCTTCCTTCAACGTGATCAAGTTTCGAAAATAGTTGAAACAGAAATATCTCTCATAGAAATAGCTATAAGAATTAATTTCTGTTTTTAAAAGATTTAAAGATTATATATACAATTTCTATTAATTTAATTTTTATTTAATACATGAAAAATTTATTGAAAAATTTATTTGAACTCATGATTTCTTTCAAAACTTTTTCAATATTTCTTTAAATGTCTTCCACCGAGTACTTTTTTAGTATTTTGTATAATTTCAAAATAAAAATATTACAAAATTATTATTTATTCAATTTATATATAATTTTTTTATTTTTAATCAAAGATTTCATTAAAATCTTTATAAAATAATTCAGGATTACATTAGATACATTATATTAGATAGGTTACATTAGATAGGTTATAATAGCGAAAAGATGGCAGCATCATACAAAAATTATATCACGAATTTTATATTCTTTCCATGTGAAACTTGTTGACAAGTTTTCCTTATATTCTTCACGGTGTCCTGTCAAATCGATTTTCAATTTAATGCTCGCGACCAGACAAATGCAATTACGATCATCGACCTGTTGAGGCTTTTGTCTAACGTATTCAAATTCTTCAAGAACACATTGCAACTTTATTTTTTCTTACCGTCGACTTATATTCTTAGCATTATTGATACTTTTTGTTAATAAATATATGTATGTAGGATGTAGTATTTTTTGATTTCACACAGATTTCCATCGAATCTGTCATAATTTTTCGTATCGATAAAAAAAACTTTTGTTCAAGAATTTTAGATACAATTTGATATAATTTTAAAAAGTGATGATAAAAATTAATAACATTGCCAGAATTATATATAATTGTTAAAATGATGAATTTTTTCTAGTAATTATAAGAGAAAAAGTAATTATAAGAGTTGATAGAACAGAAAGAAAAAATAATAATAACTTGTCAATCTATTAAAATGACAGATTTCAATTTTTTTCTCTAAAAAATAGTTTGATATGACAGCGAGAAAATCTATATTTCCAAGAAAATTGATTGTAAAATAAACAAACATTTCCCAAGACATGAATTTATAGATTTCTATTCAGTCTTATGCCTAAGTATACTTAGTATACATAGTGTTATGCGAAGTTAGGTTAGTGTTGCTAAAGAAAATATTGCTTAATCTACTGTTACGTTTAAACGATAATTAAAAAAATTTAAAATAATTATTATTATTTAAAAGATTTAATCTCTCGATTTTGCAAATCTTTTTTTAATTAAAAAAGAACGGATAAAAAATATATTATAAATTTGTCCATCAAAAGAAAACGTTCAAATCTATCGATTTTACTAAAAAAGCGTGAAAAATCGCGAAAAGTTTTAAAACTTTTAACGATCCTAATTTGATGATTAAAAAGTATATTTTTACGTTTCCACAGTGCTTACAAACTCGCTAACAAGTTCCGTCGAGCTAAGTTTCAAATACGATTTCGAAATCAATGTAATACAAAAGAACTTCATATGAATATTTCATTCCATATTGTCAATTTATTTTTACGATAAACATTAAACACCCTCTTGACATTTTACGATATGCACAGTTACATTTCTCGAAGTGGCAAATTATTCGAAACGTGTCCCGCTACTAAAAGTAATTTTCAAAAAGGAAGTTTTATGGTAACCTAGAAAGTTTGAGATGACGAAGTTAATTCGGTTTAAAGTTTGAAATGATTACACATAACTGGACGCAACTTTGTACTATTTATCATTCCACGCAAATAATTTCATTGTCATTTATGATAAAAAATAATAAATTGCAATTAGAAAATTATTATTTGATTAATTTTAGAATCTGTTTTTCATACTTTTAACCTCGCGAACATAAAATAAAATATATATATAGAAATAGAAATAGCTTAAAAAAAAACTGAATGAGAAATGAAATGAAATAAAATAAGTAAAAAAAAAAAAAATACAAGATACTCGTAAAAGTTTCATTTTTACTAAAATACAAACTATTGTATGACAGAAATAAAGAGAATCAAATTCCATGTGTTCCATTATTCAGATAAAACAGCTGAAAATTCAGAAACAGGATTTTTCTTTCGGTAAATACAGATAGGAATTCACAAATGTAGCAACTGGAAGAAATATTTATTCCAAATATGACCATGTTTGGTATCATTTCCATTCGAATAAAATTTTCATTACAATAAATATTTCGTAATAAATTAAAAAATATAAATTAAACAAAAATTTTTTTCTTATTTTCATGATTCATCGCCAAATAAAAACCAGATTTTATTTTCCAAATAATCTAATCGCAGAATTGCAATGTTGATCTTTGAAGAAACATCGAATGGAATTCAATAAAATATCGCGCTTGGATCATACGTTATGCTCGACGATCATTTTTCTCATTTTTCATGAGGCGAGAAATGGTTTCACCAATAGTTGACGAAATTTTCACGGATTCAAGGATAGTACAAACGACTTGATTCAATAAAGAGTTTTTCAGAGTTAAACAAATTGTCGACCAGATAGTTCCAACAATAAAACACGAATTCACAGAGTACGTGAAAAGATTTTTTACGAACCATCTTCGAGGACCATTCTTAGGAATATGTCAGAGCCATTTGGAAGAGATAGACCTGACCTTAAATTACAACGAGGAATGAATTACAATTATCCTTGGATCTTCTTTGAAAAGAATCAGTGCGAGCTTTTTCTCGAATTTGTTATTCAAATTCTTTGTGGCGTGGAAAATTTGCTTGCATCGGAGAACTCGTAAAATATCGATACGTACGGAATTTTTGGACTTGGAATTTCAAATACCATGGAAATTCCTTTTTTCTTTCATAGAAAAATTGCTGAGGATTGATATTTGTGAAATAATTTCATTTCAATGCGTAATATTCTTAGTTTATATCTGATAGATAAATTAAGAGTGTCAAATCAAACAAGAAGATTAAAATAGGCACGATCAAACAAATAAAATAAATTGGTAGTAGATTGTACAAACGATCACTTATAATAGTATAATAAGACAATTATTGATGAAAAAAGAATAAGAGAGTCACTTGTTGGACAAGCAGAATCATGGCAAGACAACCGTGGTTAGACAGGTAATGTAGATCGGCCATTAGTAAAAGAGTAAGTGGGTCAGAAAAGCAGAATAGGGCACTCGTGAGCAGACAAAGGGAAAAGAATGACCACGAGTCGGACGGAGTAGATTAAAATGATGATGGTCGAATAAATCGAATAACAAAACGAATATTTTTCGATATTTTGAACGATGAATATAAATATAAATATAAATATAAATATAAATATAAATATAAATATAAATATAAATTAAAAAAACACAAATTGTTTTCAGTTTTTATAAAATTGTCTCTACATAGGCAAATACAGTTTTTCATTCGTAGTATTATAGTAAAGCTAAAAATAAAATTAATAGCCATTCAACTGTAATGAAGATAAAAAATTCAAAGTTGATTTTTTACCATTAGCTTTGATATAATATTGATTGTAAAGGATTTTATGTAAAAAATTTTAAATAATAATATTTTTCCTCCTTTTCACAAAAATATCTTATTCATTTCAATCTTTTGATAAATAGCAGATTTTTCTAGTGGAAGGAAAAATTCATTCGAATATATCGGTAAAAAGAATGAAAAAGTTTAACCCAGGTTAACAGCCTTAGCTGTGATAAAGACGAAATTGAACGTCCGTAGACATCGTAAAACGACATCAATGTGGTCTTTTTTATAACTTATTTATTAAAACACGTGGGAATTAAAGTTTATTAAAAAGTACCGAGAGAGATTGAAATTCTTTACATTCATCTCTTACTCTCAACAAAAAATAATCCTCTCTTTTCGTTTCATTTGTCCCGTTATAATCAGGTTAAATCACTGTTGTTGAATTATTGTATTTGTGCTGTAAAATACAGGCTGACCCATTTTAACTTATAAATAATGCGTAGGAATACACAGGAAGGCAAAGAGATTGACGAGCGTAGATGCCAAGGCTGTTTTCAGATCATTTGTTTTTCATTTCAAAGTGGCATTTATTATCTCTTTTAAATATTTACCATGATCATGTAAATAAAATTAGGGGAATGAAATTGATTTAACCTTTTTATTAAATTTTTATTGAAAAATCACATTAATAATTATTGTTTAATAAAAAAAAGATAAGATTATTTTACATTATATATTAAAAGAATTTTTTACAAAATGAGAAAATTTAAAAATGTCCTAGAGTATTATTATCTAAAATACCTCAACCTCAATGTACATGATTG